TTTAGTTAACAAAGTAAATAGAAATTTTACAGGAGCCATAATACCAAATGTTTAGGATTATTCTCAATAGTCAATCGAATATATCAATTAACAAAATTGAATTATAGTCTAATAATTTTTAATTCTTACTTGRTGTTTTTTTCTAAAATTAAATATTGATGAATGCCCTTCTAAAATAGACGATACAAGTCCACAATGAGTCAAATTTGCTGCTCTGATTTCTGTACAAGCTAAATGCTCAACATTCCGGAAGTCTAATTTGCGTGTACAACTATCAAACATGTGTATAAGTTCATGTGTGAGCACACCTTGTATGGTACCCTTTGACGTAGCTGTGTTTTGACATATAACAACCTGTTTAAAAAAWAATAATAAATAAAAAATGTAAAAACAAAAATAATAATTATTTTATACTTGATTCATAATTGGATCATATCCCCCATGGACGCTTGTATCACATAGTTCACATACAATATGACGAGATGGGTTGACTTCACTGAAAATATAAAAATAATTTATTGTTATATTAATACCAAAAATAATGCTTACAATGCTGCAATATTATTATACTCGAATTAATAATCATATTCAGTGGTTAACAATTTTTGTTGGCTGGCAGTCAAGCAACACCCATTTTKTTACCTTTATCTATACAAGTTATTATGCCAGAACATAGCGGCCCAAGGCATAAGTCAACCGTGAAGTATGGTTATTTTAACTTGAATATAATATAAAATTGTTTGCACTTGTACAAAGGGTAATTTAAGGGCCATTCACTATCATTTTTATCATTACCAATCTTATTTTGTTTTACAATTAAATTACTCAATTAATTTAACTATTAACAAAAATATTTTTTTTAATAAACTTAAAAMTTTTAATAAACWTYGAGAAACMTGCAAAAAAAATCCTAGTTATTATTTACTACATAATTACTAACTCAACTAAATATTGAAATATTTAATACAATTTTGAATTTTTATATTTTAAACAAGCTTTTCGGGTTGGAAAGTGAATCTAGTCAGTGCATTGGGGAAATTCCAAGTAGTTTTCAAAAGCACCAGAAAAAACAAAAAAAAGTAAAGGAAAACGGGAATTTTTATGCAAAATTAATTTTTAAGAAAATCAATTTTATATATTGGTGTAACTCCAAAATGAACGAAGACATATGTAATTTTCACTGAATGTTCATATTGGCATTTTCTGTATTTGATAAAATTTTCAAAATATTTCAAATCTTTTTAATTTATTTATAGACATTTAAAATTTTTCTTTAGTTTTTTATTCTATAAATGTTAATAAAATTTTATTCATTCAGACAAGTAGATTTAAGCTTAAAAATTTAGTAAAGAATTGCAATACAATAACATAATTAGTTAAATCAAAAAGTTATCGCTAGTATGACTAATTCAATTATATATTTTAATTTAATAATAATTAACTAAAACTATTTAATAAATAAATAAACTTTAATTAACTAATCTAAAATAGCCAATTATTTTGTGACCCTATCGGTGATAAACACACGCACACACACAATAATATACAGAATAAAAAATTATTAAACATGTCAAGTAGAATGTTTATAAGGTTTGTGTGATATAATGCTAAAATTTTCTTCTTTTATAATAATTTTTAAATGACTAAAAACACGTAAAAAAAAATCCAATACAAATTTTAATATAAACAAAAAARGCCAAATTTACTGTGAAGTATGTATTATTAAAGTAAACAATTTAAATTTGATTCATTATTAACTATAATGTCATAAGTGTCTTTATTTCATAATTAATATGCATTTGTGCAATGTCTGGCACTGTTTTATAACATAGTAATGACTAATAGATAGTATATAATGCTACATCACATTTTTTAATAACATCTCAATATTGTCTATGTCATATAACAGAAATGTCGACCAATTGTATAAGAAGTTAATTRAATACATTATTTGACAACACTAAGGTTCTGGCCTTCCAAATCAAATTCTGGGCAACTGTACAAAATTTTGTTTTGCGGGCCCCAATAAATATTATTTAATAAAAAGAGTGTTCCTATAAATATTTCAAGATGTCAAAAATTACAAATTTATTTTAATGGACTCCTAAATTCCAGGTCCAACCGCTCCCCCACCCTTATGTTGGCCCTGTCTAGCTCAGCCACTTTAAAAAACATGTAACTACAATATAATCAGTATAAGCAGTTATTATCTAAAGATGTCACAACTCACCAACCAGATCTGCGTAACGCACCCATCATGATCTTTACCAAAGGACCTTTTAAATATAAAATATAGATATATAGTTATGCTTATAATGTTTATGATGTTTGAAAAATKTATAAATACTGATACATACTTTTGTTTATACAGTAAGCCACTTTTTTTTCACACTTAACTCTTTCCAAGTTTTCATTTCCACGTCCTTGAAACAAAACATTTGTTATGGTTGGTTTATAGGTACCCCTTCTCTCAGGGAATAAATCAAATCCCCATCCGTCATAGTTATCTGTGGACTGTGAGGTTGTTTGGTGTTTGTCTTCTTTGCCCTCGGCCATGAGAGTTATCTGATGCACAAAATAAATTTTACACAGAAATATTAGTAATGACAATAGAGTATATTTTACTATTTTGTGTAGTATATCTACTTGAATAACACTAGAACAGATTACAGAGCCTGTACTTACAAATTTCCTATTAAAACATACAATTATTATTGACAATCATTAATCATTAGTCACTAAAATACCAAATGGCTAAATAGTAAATACTATTATATACAGTACAGTCTAAAATATATTAAATTGTTGTTGATTTAAATTTTAAGTTGTAAAACACATGTAATTCGTTGATAATTTTCTTATCACACCGATTGAATCTTTTCTGATAAAAATTATCATTTTATTTCATGATAACCATAATCTAGGATCATGTATAAGCTTATAGTGTTTTCCACCATTCCACCACACCACACTATTGCAGCAAGGTAGAACTGGTACAGTTCACTGATAATCGTCCCAACACGGGCTGGTGCAAATGTAGATGAAACATAAAATCTATACTTATTACTGATATATAAAGATAATAAAATATTTAATGGGTATTGCACACGGACTAAGATATACAGGACTGGAATCGACATGGCC